CACCTTAAAACCAAAAAAAAAAAAAAATTGTAGAGCTTATCAAAATACATCTAATAATAATAAGAATATTAAAATCAGCTTTATGATTTTTGAGAAATATTTAAAAATATTTTATTGATATATAATATTTTTTTAAAAAAAATTGATTTTTTTAAAGTAATTTTATATATTAATAAAATATTTTTTAAAGATTTTTCAAGAACTACCAAGCCAATTTTAATATTTTTACTACTATTAAATATATCTTGATGAGCTTTATAATTTTTGTTAGAAGCCTAAAAATAATTTACTTAGTAAAAAAAGGTTTTAGATTAGAGCATTTTACATTTAGCTCAATAGTAATATTTACTTATAAAAATTTGCAGATCCTCTTCAAATAACAAGTAGATTGTCTATTAAATTATTATTATTTTTTTATTTAAATTATTGTTATATATTTTTTTATTTTTTATTAAATTATGGTTTATTAAACTTTAATATTAAATTATTTTTAATTTATTTATTTATTATTATTAGAGATTAATAATTTATTGTATATACAATACATTGCACCCTATTTTAGCTATATGAAAATCATCAATTTTGTGTAACAAAAAAATTTTGTCAAATAAAAAATAAATTTTGATTAATGTTAAGATAGAAGTATAGGTTATATCAAAATTTTATAGAGAATTTTTTTTATTAGAATCTCAAAGGTAGTTTTATAGTAAAAATTTTGATATAGTAGAAGGGGTACAATATATTGCATGTGCAATAAATTTTAAAACCCTTATTATTAATGTTATATATATTATAATTTTTTAAATTATTTTAAAAAAAACTTAATTAAATTACTAATATTATTTTAAATTAAGGATAAATATATGCATCGCCTACTGCGATATATTTATACATCGCATCTATATATATAAATTATAATTTGTCTTATAACAACTAAAGTAACTGGGATTTTTTTTGTTTGGTTAGAGTTAGGTAGAGTTAGAGTACAATATAGGAGAAATTTATAGTAAAATTTTGCAAGGAATTTTTTTGTTAATGCGCAAAAGATAGTTTCATATATGAAATTTTGAGTTATAAGTAACTTTTGCCAAAATGAACATTTGTTTTAAATCTTCCTAATCATGCTACGTTATACCTGATCTTGAAATTTGATTGGTCAATCATCTAAAATGTGATATATAAGCATATCGCAGGTTGTGATGCCTAATTAAGTCCTTAAATTAATATTGATTAATTTATATTTTTTTATTTATTAAATTAATTTTTAAATTATTATTTTAACTTACTATATTTATATCTACTATTCTTTTCTTTATTCTTTTGTTTTATTTTATTCTTTTTTGTTAGTTTTTTTCTTCTTTTCTCTTTGTTTTTCATATATTTTTTTTTAGTATTTTAGTAGATAGATAGGTGTTTTTACAAGCAGATAAATAGATTTAGATCAATAAGCAGTAGATAGTTAGATCTCTATAGATAATAGATAGTTGTATTTTTACAATCAGGTAGATAAATAGAGAATCTGACAATCATTTCATAGATTTTATATTTTATTAACAATTATTTACTAATGAGTTTATTTTACTAAACACTTTTTAAAACAAAAGTAATTTTGGTTAATATCATTATGATCAGATTAAAATTAGAGTTAAAGTTAGTATAATTTATAAATAAAATTGCTAGCAAAATAAGCTTCAATAAAATAGACTGTTAGTAAAATAAACTTGTTAGTAAAATGTAATATCTATGAAGTGATTGTGATAAAATAATACAGATTTGATTAGATAAATCATAGATAAAGACTAAATTAGTTTATATTGAGATTATTGTAATTTTATTGTAAATTATTAAAAAAAATTCTGCTACAAAACTTATTATTCTAGTAAGACCAGTATGTAATTAATATTAGGTTAGTCTATATTAAAATTATTCTGATTTTTGTTAAAAGTTGCTGTAAAATTCTAATACTAAACTTATTCGCTACTACAAGTATATTATTTAAACACTAAGTTAGCTTGCTTTAGAATTATCATACTATAATTTTTAATATCTTACTACTCTGATGATACAAATATAAAATAGTTGCATTAGAATTATCATAATTTCTATAAAATATTTTAGTACAAAATATATAATTAAAGATAGAGTTAGTCTGCATTAAGATTATTATAGTTTTATTATAAATTATTAAAAAAATTCTGTTAAAAGCTTACTCATACTAATAATACCAGTATATAGTTAAGGTTGTATTATTTTATATTGAAATTATTGAGATTTCTATCAAAAGTTGCTATAAAATTTTAATACTGAACTTGTTTGTTACTGCAATATATTTGTTAAAGATTAAGTTAATTGTATTGAAATTATTGAAATTTCTATCATAAATCAGATTTTACTTGCTATTCTAATAATTATGATTTTTAGCATCTTACTATTCTAGTAATACAAATATAAGTTAGCTATATTAAAATTATTGTGATTTCTGTCATAAATTGCTGTAAAAAATTTTGTTATAAAACTTATTCATTACTTTAATAATATCAGTATATAGTTATAGTTAGATTAGTCTATATTAGAATTATTGTAATTTTTGTTGAGAAAGTTGCTATAAAATTCTAATACTAAATCTATTTACTATTACAATAATTAATGTTACGGCTGATGCTGAAGTTTGGCTGATGTTGAAGCTAAAAAATCTGATTGGCTAAATTTTGCAGATCACCCTAACCCTAACCAATCAGATTTTTTAGCTTCAACATCAGCCAAACTTCAGCATCAGCCGTCACAATTAATTACAATAATATGAACAAGCTTTAATGTTTATTTATCGCATTTTTAAACAGTAAATTGACTATAATTTTTCATTATCAACGTTTTTACTAGAAATGTGTTCTTTGAATCTATATTGCCGATTAAATAACTAAACACTACTAATATTTACTATCTGCTGTCGTATTTACTAACCCAACAAGCTTAATTTTTCTATAATACTAAATTAAAACAAGATACTAGCATTAATAATTTTTGATAAAATCATATTTTAAAGATTTTAAATAAACGATACGTGTAGGATTCTTTTTTAAAATTAAACTTATCTTGTTTTTTCTTTCAAATTGACTTTTTCGTATAAAATATTAGATACATAAAGCTAGCAATAGTAAAACGTAGAATTTTAAAGTATTGTTCTCTGAATAAAGTTTATTCGAATCTGTGGATTTTCATTGCTATTATAAAAACGTAAAGTTTTGTTTAAAAAAATATTATGTTGGTTTAAATTCTATATATATTAAGGCTTATCTCCAACTCATCTCCAACGTCTAGCTTTGGTTAAAGGAGATTGTTTTTTTTAGCATTATCGATTATCATAAAGTTTGGTGAAGATCTTAATCACGTTATTCGCAAATGTCACTTTCTAAATCTGATTGGTAATTCTTGTTGAGGATCTTAATCACATTATTCGTAAATCCGCCCATATGTGGAGAAGATCACGAGATCACATTTTTTGATAGAAAATGAAGGCGGAGTGAAGTTTAGAGATACTTTTTTGATGCAGTTATGGTTAATGGGTTATATAGAAATCAAGAATGTAATTTATGCAGCATATTGAATTAACTCTGCTTTAGCCGATGTTTCGGTTACACGAATCGGAAGCTGAGTTATATATTAATCAGCGAAATAAATTGTAAATTTGAATAGAAAAGAATAATAAACTTATAAATTTTTTGGAGTCTTTATACACATCGAAATAAAGGATTGATCCCGATGTGATCAATGTTGATCATGAAATTTTGAACATTCAACTTTATATTTATAAACCGAATTTAGCAAAAAGTAGCCAATCAAATTTCAATGGAACGATCTAGAATCGATTTCCATTTTTTGGGGACGTCTAAAGCGTATTTCTTAATAATGTTCTTGATTAACTTTAGGGTTAGGGCCATCCTATGTTAGGGTAGGGTTAGGTTTTAGGTAGTTATATATAAGCAAAATTGCCTTCCCGACATTTTTGATTAAGCCGTTTTTTGTATTTTTCGGGTTTTTGGTTTTTATTTTTTGTGCTTCGCCGGCGATCATTAAAATTCTATAATTTGATTGGTTGATGATCACATGATTTGCCTCCCCATGTTTGGTAATATGCCTGACTAAATATAACACTACAATACATATATTGAATGATAATGTATAAGTATTTGCAGCCATATCCACTAGCGTTAAAAATAACTTCAGCAGTATGATTTGGAGTACTGTTGATTAAATTCATGAAAATTGACGCATCTATTCTTTCTTATTCCTCTAAAAGCGCTTTCTTAAATTTTTCATGAAAATTGACGCATCTAGACTTTCCTATTCCTCTAAAAGCTCTTTCTTCAATGTTTCATGTTCTTGGTGGTGGTCTTCGTTCCCGCATTCTACGTATCGTTTAGTATATTCCATATGTGCTTTTTGTGTATCAACGATATACCTGTACAAAATTGCGATATTTATGAAGGTTAAAGTTTACTGTTTTGTCAAGGGTTTTGCTATTGGCCATTTCACCGTTTTATCAGGGTTTCTTCTTTTACGATTTCTATCAGCTAACTATAGATCGTAAATATTATTAAGTATTTAAATAAGCTATTCAAGTTCAAAAATACATATTATTTAACATCATTTTTATAGCAAGTATAAAGAACAAATTATATTATCTAAAAAAAGTGTAAAAAAAAAATTAACTTTATTAAACTAAGCTCTAATTATTAAAAAAAATAAATCTAGAGTATGTATCAAACGAATTTATAATCATAAATAAAGTTGAGATTATTAATACAAGTACCACATTTTGTGGATTAAGATACTTTTCGTGCCAAATAGAATAAATTTCCTTGACTTATTGTTGTATAAATGTGACGTGTATTAACTGTGACATTTAATTTTTTTTATGTGTAAAAAAATTTGTATCATGCGGGTACTTTAATCCACAAAATACGGTAAGTTTGATAATAAATTTATGTATAATTAGTAAATTAATTAATGAGTTTAACTTTTTTGGCAAAATGCCTATGAATATCAAAAGGAGGTATGTTTTCATTTACTTCTTTACAAAATTCATTCAATAAGTCGTTAAATTCCTCACTAGACATTCCCATATACTTTGGAAGAAAAACGATACTTTCATATACTCGTTTAATATTTTCCAACGCCTTTATAAAAAAAAAAAAAAAAAAAAAAAAAAAAAAAAAAAAAAAACCAAGAACAAAATCAATAGAAATAAATTTAAAAACATATATTATTAGCATACTTACAAATTTGCCAAAACAACCAAACTGTTCACCTACAGGAAAATCTATAGAAAGACAATTTATCTCATCAAGTTCGTCCATTGCCTCAAGATATTTCGGTATCATTTCATAAATAGAAATATTAACACTTTTCGTCTCCAGACAAGCTTTTGAAGCTAAAAGAAATTTAAAAGAAAAATTTAATAATATCATAACAAATATAAAAAGATATATATTGATAGGTATTTTTAGTATAATAGTGGAAGCATACCAGACTCAAATATCAATTGTTCAGCCTTTCCGGGATTTCTAGAACGAAGATTTGGATTAACGAATTCAATCCAACCTTCGTATTTTAAAACTCTAATGAGATCCTTGATCAGCTTTAACCATTGAGGTTCAGAAAAGGCACACCACATCATACTTATATGAACAAAATCAAAAGTGTCAGGAGGAAATGGAATACCATGAGCAGCATTACAAGTAAGAAAACAGACATTTGATGGACATCGATCATGTGATGGAAAGTTTGAGGAATCAATATCAATTCCTATGAAAGTAGAAGAAGGATATTCTAAACCCATTTCCATCAACCAAAAACCTCCACCACACCTATTTTGTATTAAAAGTTGGTAACGTTATTAGATATTATTATAAGATATTGTTATATTATTATAAATTAATGCTATAAAATATCATTACATAATAATATTATCATAAGTTATTATTTTATTACAAGCTATCATTATGAGTTATTAAATATTATTAGCTATTATAGGCAATTAAAAGTTAATATAATTACCCAATATCTATTACAGTAGCACCCATATTCAATTTTTCTTTAATTGGCGAACAAAAATTTCCTTTCCAGAGATGCTTCTTTAAAATATGTGACAAAGTTAATCTTGCAAACTCTAATTTATCAGATGGTAATATATAATTGAAATCAACAGCATTCAAATATTGTCTTCCGTTGTACGTCTTATATGAGTCTAATAACAGAGAAGTTACTTCATCTAAATCCTTTGTTTCAACATTAAAATCATCAATGCGCCCTAAAGTATGTCTTCGGACTTTTTTCTTTTGAATGCCAGTAGGAGAATTTTTAGATTTATTTGACATTATCGATACTTAATATTATATACTTAATATTTACAGATATATAAGAATTTTCAAATGGTTTTGAAGAAGAAATAAAAAACGTTTTGAAAAAGAATTCTTTTATAAATAGCTTGGCGAAATAAAAACGTCAAAATGCGTGATATCAAAAAAAAAATTTTATTATCCAAAAACAAAAAGATTGTTTATTTGCTGCATAGAATAGTTTAGAATTTTGTTGCATGGAAAAACTTGCATTATAATTGGTCAGTACATATAAAACAAGAATTGCATTAATAGAGTCGTGAAGGATAATCTTTTATTTCCGAGAATATATAAAAAAATTGCGCATATATTTAAATTAAAAATACTCTCGAAGTACGTACGTACGTGGAATCCTAATAGCGTTAGTACATACATACGTACCAAATTACGTAGTGATGAACAATTAGTACCAATAAAATTAATTATTACCAATATAAACATATATTTATGTAGATACTGTACGCACGTACGTATGCACACACGTATGTACGAACTTACATAAGTAGTCATTGTCACAAAACAAGTATGAAATTTAACTTCGACAATTGATGAGGAATTATGATAATGCATCGGGAAATTAGATATTGCAAATACAGTAGTAGTACGAATGCTAATCTCATTGAAATAATGAATTATTCCATTATTGTACAAGCATACTCAATATTCACCTTTTAGCGAAAATTTCAAATGGTTACTCTTTAAAATATTCTGAGGTACGTACGTACGTACCATTTTAGTTTGCTTATCTGTTATATAGTCGACCCTTTATAAGTGACCTTCCATATAAATTATTAGATTATTTTTATTGTACTGATCAAATTATGTGCGCTTATGAAGGTAAAATCACGTGAACGTGCACATATGGAAGGTTGACTGTAGTTGTTTACATATGTTCAATTATAGAACTTAGCCAAGGTTCATGATTATTTGGCAAAATTATAATTATTTAATTGTGCGACATATAAATATGTAGTTGTGCGTAAATGTATATAGCCGTAACTAGGGTAGTTATCCAAATTCTATATGACGTAGCTGGGTAACTACCCTTGACTTGACAAATGTCTGCATCTTTAATTGTGCGACATTGTTATGCCAAACCAGAAACTGATGAATATGTTGTGCCTCAGACTAATGCTTGCCTCGGATCACAACTGACGCACCTCAGATGCAGATCGTCAGGCGAAGTGCGTAACCTATCGGTCTATCATCTAAGCTGCAATTTAATGAAGGTAAGGGAGTAAAATAAATTAATAAAAGCCCTTTGGCTTAGACTCTTTTTATTCTTGGTTTCTTGGACCTCTACGACGTTTTTTTACTGCTAGCATTCTTTACTTTAAATCACTTTTGTGTTTATCTTAACTACAGTAGCATTCTATATCTTGATTTGGTCGTCGTCTTACCTCCAATAACATTCATGAATCTCTTAGGTATTTTACCACCAACAGTAACATTATTTTACATTAAGTTTCTTCAGTATCTCTGTTCTTTTCTTTGAATTTCTTTGCCCGGATTTTTACGAATATTCTATTTCCAATTAATACTGTACGTCCTTTTTTTCTCTATGCATATAGTTTTTTTTTTTTTTTTGCCTAAATTTTCGTGGCATATTCTTCTTGTTTAAGTTTTTTTTCAGCACGTTCAATCTTCAATAATTTCTATATATATAATTCTTTTTTGTCTTATTGACCGATCGATAGATTACGCATCTCACCTAGAGATGTGCCGCGTACAGTACAGTATGCAAAAAATTTTTTAGAATATTCTAAAACAAATCATTAATGTATCACTATCACGAATTTTTGACTATGTAACTGTCTTTCGCACTCTAATAAAAATCGTTCCTTGCAAAATGTTACATATAACTGATTTACAAATGCTACGTGTATTATGGATATTGCGTACTATACAACTATACGTACTGTACGCGAAAAAATTCAGGTATCATATAAATGGCATATCACTAATCTCACCTAACAACCTACATCTGAGGTGCATCAGCTGTGATCTGAGGCAAGCGTTAGTCTGAGGCACAACAAATATAGCTAATCGTCATAGCCAAATTTCAAAATGTAAATGATAATTCTGTGCGAAATGAATTCTTTAAATAGATTATAAATAGTTAAATCGGTATCGATCCATGTTAAAATTGAGAATAGACAACATATTCTTGTTTTTTTTTGTC